TTTATTCGATGTAAGATTTTATCTCTTAACATTCTATACGTCCGACTATGATGAAAATTCTAGATGGAATATTTCGATGGAGTTAATGCATAATTTCGTTATATAACAAGCAATTGATAACCATGGTTCTTCTACATTGGATGCTGTCAGGTGCAATTTTGAAAAATTACTTAAAAAGCTATCTTATTTTAGTTCTTGATCCAGTTCTTCTTTCCGGCCACATAAATTTCATAAGACTGACTGGTTATGCGAGACATTAAGTCATACCCATTGTATGATGACCTTCAATGCAGAGATAGGGCTGGTGTGATATAGTACTATTGCCAATCACAAGCCATCATTTCGACAATTCCTTATAAGGAGAGGACTATTTGTTAACTGATTTCTAAAAATTGAACTGATATGTAGAAGATAAAGCTGAAGAATTTATTTTTCGTACGATGTTTTAAATAATTCATTCGCCCTTAGTTTGTTCACATTGTTTTGGGATCTTTTTCACTTGTTAGAACAGTGGTTCCATAAGCACTTGAGAGGAACTTATATTTCTCGTGCTTCAATTATTTTCCATCTGAATTTGATTTCGAAGTTGCATATACAGGAGCCATTTGTGAACATACCCGAGGATAAAATTCGTGAAGCATTAAAAGTCGTCCTTGGTACCTTCTTTACAATACTTCCACTTCTATCGAACATGATTTATGTGCGAGTCTTTAGTATGGATTTATTAATATAACTTTTTCCCGTTTCTCCTACAATTCAGATGTGAAGAATCACCCTCTATTGATCCACTGCAAACGAGGGAAAGTACGTAAGAAATTATCTGTATTGCCTTTTCTCCCTTAAATTTCCGATCAATACCATCTTGATTAATGATGTTTTGTGTTTCTTAATTGTTCAGCACCGGACTGGTTGTCTTGTGGGATGCTTGAGAAAATTACAAAGATGGTGTCTAACTTCGGTTTTTGACGAGTACCAGCGCTTTGCAGCAGCCAAAACACGCGTATCAGATCAGAGGTTTATGGAATTGTTTGATGTGTCGAGCTTCAAGAACGTACCGATGACATTTTCAACTTCAAAGAGGTACAAATAATTACTAGCCGAGAAGTAGCAATCTCGAGGAAAGTGATTACCCTAGAAATGCGTTTCTCTTGATTTTATAGGANTAAAAAAAAAAAAAAAAAAAAAGTAAATTACCTTAACTTTTGATCCGCTTTAACCACCTCAAAACACCTCTATAAATAACTGCCAACACACCAAAAAGTTCTTGAACTTGCCATCATAAAAATCTCCAATCTACATATACACCCATTGAATTTGAATTACCACATAGAAAAAAGACAGTGGGAAGAAACCCTTTTCGTTTAAGGAAATCTTGATGACGAAATTTGATAGAAATGAAGAAATTAATGGTAGTGACATGTGCAGAACCATAGAAGTGGCGATGGTGGAGTCCTCACCACTGCCGCCGCCACCACCATCGCCGCCACTGAAGCTGTCATTTTCAGGTGATAATTGTGAAGTAGATGAGCTATTTCTTCCACCTCTCAACTTTGCTATGGTTGATAATGGCGTTTTTAGGTCTGGTTTTCCAGACTTAGATAATTTCTCATTTCTTCAATCACTCAATCTCTGCTCTATCATGTAAGTCTCTTTGAATTTTTGACGCATGCGTATGATAAATACAAACGTTAATTAACGATCTTAGGGTTTTTTGTGTAGATATTTGTGCCCCGAGCCTTACCCGGTGCCCAACATGGAGTTTCTCAAGGCGAATCGCATTAAGTTATTCCAGTTCGGGATTGAAGGATGTAAAGTAAGTCAATCCTTCTTTTCTTTTCGATCTACCACTTGAATGGATCTTGCTACGTATACATCAAAGTTTGCATAAAGGATTACAAAATGCCGCATGACACTTTACCATTTGTCAGTTTAAAATATAATCAACCTTTTTATCTAATATTTTCCCTCCATTTCATTTTCGATAACTGTTTATGTACTATTTTTATGTACTAGTAGCAAAATCCTATTGGAATTTTGCCTACTTTTCGGGCAGCAAGATATTCCAGTCAATATCAGTTTTATTATTTAGCCACCAATATAAAGTTCTATCATAAGAACGGTAAAAGTTCAGTTTACAAGTATACAATAGCGTCTTTTAGGATTTCAATTATTCTGAAAATGATTAAAACATGGAATTACTTCCAAAAATACACTTCAAATTAATTTGTAAGATAAGCCCTTCATGTTTGGAGAAAAGACTTTAATAGAATGGCCATATATGCACATGGTGGGACCATCTACTTAAATCACGATTCATGACAACGCGGACTTCGAGCCATTCATATCGAGACGCCTGAAAGTTCGAGATGTTAAGAGTGAGAAACAGAGTGGGTATGTGATGCCGAGGTATCGCGGTTTGCTGTGTGCATACCGATTGTACTGAAGCTTCTCTCGCATGTTTCATATGCCAACTCATTTCCTTCTATATATGCGAAATCAACTTGTTAGTTTCTTCTACTATGAAGTCTCAAAAAGGAAGTAAAGAAACTGTAAAAGATAATGTCTTTTTGCTATATTCTATGTTAAGACTTGGAGTTCCATTTTAAAATGTCAATATTATTAAGAGGAATAACCTAAGACCTTATAAATTGGTCTATATTTCTAGTTTTATTCAATGTGAGATTTTATCTTTTAACATGCCCCACAAAAT